AGAGAAACTAGGGTAGTGTCCTTGGAAACAGGAGTGGACACACACACACAGCCACACACATATGCCATACAAACATATACACACAAGCAAAGAACATTTCATATAACACATTCCACACACACAGCACCATGTACCAACATATTTTCCACATTACACACAGCAAGCAAACACACCATCACAAGTTCAAAGACATACCATGTGTATATACTCCACTTTTCACACTGCAACAAACTGAACACACTGACACACATGTTTTCCACAGTACATCCTTTGAATGGACCACATATGCAACCACACACACACTCACCCCACAGAGTGTAAGGGGAAGAACACATGGTAGGTGAACAGCTTTGGTTTAGGTAGGACTTGAGCCATGGCTGCCTTTGCCACCCTGAGCCTGAAGAAGGCTAGCTGCCCCAACATGAGCCTGAAGAAGGCTTTTGCCATCTTGGCACTGTTGGCCATCATTGGCTTTGTGCAGCCTGCAGAAGGCATGGAGAGCCTGTATTGGTGGAGGGTGCGCTATTGGAACGGAAAGTACTACTATGTGTGGCAGAGAAAGCGCAAAGGCAAAGGATGGTTTGATGAACTCGATGCACTGGAGATGGAGAGCCTGCAGAAGGCTTTTAAAAAGGATCCAAGCATCAAAGAATGGATCCATGACAGGTCTAATGATGGGAACTGGTGGAACACTGATGTGGAAACCAGGCCTGTTTGGGATGACCAGCTGGGTGTTTGGAGATTCCCAGACCCAGGAGTTGCAGATGATGATTGGCTCTCAGAGGCATCATCTCTGCACACGCCTGGGGATTCAGAGCCTGAAGAAGGCTGGTGGCAAAGCCACTGTTGGTGGCAGTCACCCAATGAGCCTGGAGAAGGCTGGTGGCAGAGCTCCACATGGTGGCATGAGCCTGCATCCACAGAGCCTGGGGAAGGCACATCTGGTGAGTGGACAAAAGAGGATTGGAAACAATGGTACAACCAGCAGCCTGATACCTGGAGAAGGTACATGGTCAGGTCAAGGCCTTCAGACCTGAAAAGGCTGGACAGGAGAAAATTGGAAAGAGCTGGGGAGCCAGTGCCTGAGCATCTGAAGCCTCATCCACAGGTCTGGGAAACCAAAGAATTGAAGCAAAGGTTCAAGGACCTTCTGGATGAAGCCAAAGCTCTGGCCTCACGGTGTGAACCTGATGTTGGCCCACCTACAGGTCCAGGTTGGAAAGGTCAGAGGCCAAGTTTCAAAAAACCTCAATCCAAGCCTGGAGAAGGCAAGGGGCCAGGACCTCAGGGAAAATGGCCACCCACTCCACCCAAAAGCCTAAGGAAGGCTAAGGAAGATGCCTCTGAACAGCACAGGCAGGAAACAGGTTCACAACACAGCTGGGAACCTGCCCAGCCACAGCCTCAGCCACCCTCAACAGAGGCAAAGAAAAAGCCAAAGACCATTCATGAGGGTGATGAGGGTCCTCAGGATTGTCCAAGAGTAGATCCAAAACCAGAGCCTGCAGAAGGCCCAATTGCAGAGCCCACTGCAGCTGACCTTCCAGAGCCACCCAGCAACCCAGCAGAACCAGAAAAGCCTCCTGAAGAAGGAGCCCCCCCCCAGAGAAGCCTAAGCCAGAACAAGCTCCTGAAGAAGGAGCTCCAGATGAGCCCATGCCAGAGGCTGCAGATGAGCCCATGCCAGAACAGTCTCCTGAAGAAGGAGTACCAACAAACACAGATGGTTCAGTAGATTTTTGAGCCTGGAGAAGGCTGATGCAGAGCACCACAAAGAGCCTGCAGAAGGCTTGTACAGGATGGCAAAGTCCATCAAGAGCACAGGTTTTTGAAAGGAAAAAAGGGTGCGGTGAAGGAGGGGTTGGGGTGGATGGTTTTAGTGGGTCTGGTTGGGGTACCCTTTTGGGTTTTGGTGCAACCCTTCCTGGTTACCCTTTCTGGTGTCTGGTACTTGGTGGCCACCCTTTGGTGAAGGTTTTGGGGTTCAGTGGTATCAAGCCAAAGCCTGGGGAAGGCAACCGCCAGATTTTTTTAGAAAATTTCAAGTCCTTTTTTAAAACTTTCAGGCCTTCTTTTAAAACTTTTCAGTCCTTTTTTTAGAACTTTTAAGGCCTTTTTTTTTGAACTTTTTATTGGTTTCTTATTTTAATTTATAAGGAAAACAATAAAAAATGCCTGAAAATTCTAAAAAAAGACCTGAAAAGTTCTAAAAAAAAGGCCTGAAAGTTCTAAAAAAAGACCTGAAAAGTTCTAAAAAAAAGGCCTGAAAGGTTCTTAAACCAGAGGTGAAAATGATTGGTGGCCTTTGAGGTTCAAGGTGCTCAAGCACACAATTTTCCCCAACACCATCAGCATTTCAATCTACAGCTCCACAGGCACCTTTCACAAACCACCTTAGGGCCTAGGACACACACCCAGCATGGCGCCCCAAAAGAGGCCAGCTGCAGCCATGGGTGCAGTGAAAGAAGAGCCTGGAGAAGGCACACCTGTCAAGACAGGGTGTCTGCCTTCTACCTCAAGAATCGCCTGGTGGAACTTGGCTTTTACCGTGTCCATCCATTGTGCTAATACCTCCTTGTGTCTTCGTTCAGCCTCAGCAATGATGGCATCCTCGTTGCCATTGTACACTTGAGGCCAGAGGGGGTGAACGAAAGCTAGCCGGGCCTCCTCGTCCAAACAAGTCGGGGGCGGGCTGCACAGTCACTCTCATTGGGTAACTGCCGGTCCACTTGCAAGTCCCGTGGGAAACTCTAGAGAAGCAGTGTTAGTATGTGCTTTGTGGTGCGTCGAGTCTCATTCAGTAAGCAACTGCCACCTGACAGGAGCAGGTTTTGTTTGGTGCCCCCTTTCCATCACTTCTTTGGCTTGGTTTTTCCAGCGGTTGCTGTGCCGCAGCAGCAGCAGACCACCCAGCGGCAGCAGCAGCAGCAGCATACCAACCAGCGCCGCAGCAGCAGCAGAGCACCACCCAGCAGCAGCAGACCACCCAGCGCCGCAGCAGCAGCAGCAGCAGACCACCCAGCGCCAGCAGCAGCAGCAGATCACCCAGCGCCAGCACCAGCAGCGGCAGCCCACCCAGCGCAGCAGCAGCAGCAGACCTCCCAGTAGCAGCAGCAGCAGACTGCCCAGCAGCAGCAGCAGACCCCCCAGCAGCAGCAGCACAAGACTCAAATGACACCGCCTGACTCCACGCCGTAACTAGTCGTGTACGCGGGGTAGGGCTATGATGCAAGAAATGCCGCCTGCACATAGCACCCAAAAAGGTATTACTGTCCAATGTAGCTCCTGCTGCTGCTGGGTGGTCTGCCTTGGCTGCGTCTCCTGCTGCTGCTGCTGCTGGTGCTGCTGCTGCTGCTGATGCCGCTGCTGCGCTGGGCGCTGCTGCGCTCGGTGCTCTGCTAGCGCCGGGTCGTCTGCTGCTGCTGCTGGCGCTGGGTGGTCTGCTGCTGCTGCTGCTGCTCTGGGTCTGCTGCTTGTGCTGCTGCTGCTGCTGCTCCTTTGTGGTTTGCTGCAGCTGCTTGGTGGTAGACTGCAGATGCTTGGTGTGCTGCAGCTGCTTGGTGGTCCCGCTCACCGCGCGCAGGGGGGAGTCGAACCGCGGGGAGGGGGGGGTCCATAAGATTGATTTAATCAATTATTTGAGGTTTCTGGGGCGCGTCCACCCCGTCACTTAACTTGCTAAAGCAAGAGCAACTCCAGCTAGCTAAGGCTAGCTTTCGTGACTTGCTGAATGTTCTGCTGCACGAATTGGAAGTATGCCGTGACCGGGGCTGAACCCATGGGATCATCTAGATCTACACGGGGCTCAGTCGCGAGACCGGCTGGCACAGCGACTGATGATGTGGCATTCCCTGGGATAGCGAGAGTGTCCATGGCTGTGGTTAGAGCACTACGGCTGATAACCTATAGAAACAGCCGTTAAGCTACGATACCCTTTTGGACCGCGAGCTGCAGAAGTAAGTGCAATGACATCCTATACATATGTGCATGGTAAAAGTGTACATATTACATGGAGTGAAAATACACCTTTTACTATTTTTTTCATATAGACTTTTCTTCCTGTCTTATTTTTGCGCTAGCTGATTGACCACCTCTTTTCTTGGCTTCACTTCCTCTGTCTGCCACAATCCCGCCTCTTGTCATCTGTCATCCAGCCGATGGTAAATCACGGTCTCTTTCTGTGCTTTCTTTTTTTTTGCTTTCTGGTCCACTGCTTGAGCCCCAACAAGAATGCAATCAACTACTGCTTTGAATTTGCAAAAAAACTAACGCAACTTCACGACGTGATAGCATCACACACACACACTCGCTCTCTCTCTCTCTCTATTTCCTTTGCACGGTGCTGTGGTGCATTGTGGGGCACGTCCTGATCTCATTCTCTTGCCACCTCAGTGAGAAAAGCCATTATTTTAGTTGATTTGAAACCTTATGCCGATGCCCATGTCTTTTCCTGTTGATCTTAGTATTTTTCATCCAGGTCTTCTTGTTCCTTGTTTTTTCTCATTACAAAGACCCTTTATCATTTTTATGTCTCCATCTTCCTGACTCACTTCCAACTCGGAGAGCTGACCCGTTTGGCGACTCGTTCGTCGCCCCATTTTTGTCGGCCAGCAGGCCGAACTTGACTCACCAAGACCTGCAAGTCGTCGAAGAAACCGATAAAGGAAACAAGAAGAAAAAGAGAAAGCAAAAGCAAGCGAAAAAAACGAAAAAGAGAAAGGAACCCCTAGCAGCGTCCTTACATGTCCTTGCTCCTAATAGGGAAAGGAAAACAAAACATGAAACCACTTTTAAACTGTGTTCTCGTTGTTGTACATTGTGCACTTTGTCTTGCACGTTTTGCATGTGTGCTCGTGTTTCCTTGTGTTTGTCTTCTTCAAAGGTTCACAAACTTTACTTCCAGAAATAGAAGAGAACGTGGGAAACCAACACATTTAGCAAGCAGCACGTAGCAAGACAAATTACATGGCAAAAGCAGGCATAGGGAAAAGGGTTCTTCTAACCCTCTCTGACCCTCTCTCGATTTTTGGGGTAAATACTTTTTTCAGTCGTTTTCCTCCCACCTTTTCAATTAATTGTTGACTCTCTGACTCTCCATAACTCTGAGACACATTCTCCCACCTGCTCATCTGGATCAAAATGAATCCGTAGCTCCCCGAACAAGCCCTGAGAACTCCGCAACTCGCTCCTGAGGCGAGGTAAAGGACGCTACTAGGGGCTCCTGGCCTCGCTACTAGGAGCAAGGACGCTACAGAATACGAGCGACGCAACAAGCGCCACATTGTCGATGAGGCATATGGTCGAATCATGTCGAATCATCGTAAGAGCAATGGCCTCAAACCTATCATTGAATCGATCTTGTATCAGCCTGTGGTGTCGTATCCTTCACACGGGCCTCAGCCAAGGGCTCTGTGGATCCTCTGGAGTCAGCCTGGGAGGAGAGGAGATCGGAGAGGTTCAAAACGACAGGATCAACGCATGGCAGGCCTTGCGGCAGTCTTTACTCCATTCCAAAAATGTGGCTAGTAGCTTAAGTAAGCTACCTTGGGAAGCTACTAAAGCTCAGGTGCTTCAAGAAAACCTGTCCAGCCCAACAGAAGCTTTCTTAAAGAACCCTTCCTAGATTAGGGCAAGCCTTCAGACCTTGAAATAAAACAAAAGTAAAAAAAGAAACGAAAGGCACATAACACATAATATGCTGTTTACTACTTTTTTTTTTGGACTCCTTTTGGCTGTCCTCCTGTATCTTCCTCTTCCCCTCTGCACTCTCCCTGGGATCTGGACATGCCGGCCACCTTTCTCGTGCTTTTCTAAACCAGTTCTGGAGATCTTCTTAATGTTCTATTCTTATGTATTTTTAATAAATCCTTATCTTTTGACTTAGCTGCTTCTTCCTTGCTTTACCCGGTTTGTCTCTAGATAGATCTTTACACCCTTTGTTCATTTCCTCCATTCTTTAGAGAGATGGTAGTAATGAGAGGGCTGATGCTGTCACAGTCAAAAAGGAAGGGATGAAAAAGGATTAGTAAGGAGGAGGAGCCCCCTCAAATGAGGGAATAGGATGCACATGGATGCACCACTGTTGATATGATTCCTCCCCGGCTGATGACCAAATTCATCAAAAAATGAGCTCAAGTTGGCACTTGCCTTCTGCCCATTCGGCAAGACTTGCTCAAAGCCTGAAAGGGAAGGGACCCTAAAGCTAATGTTTTCATCAGGTAGGCGTTAGAGAAATGGGATGAAAAAGGCAGGAAAATCAAAGAAAGGCAAAGGACACAATGAACAACTTGATACATCTGAGGACTGAACTCAAAGCCTCACCCACCTGATTCAACACTTGAACTTGAACACTGCTCCAACACATTTGTCAACGGAAGTCCCAGGTGTTCCCTGCCTTGCGGACCGAGTATGAAAATCGATCAGCCTGAACACACAGCTTTGTCAGATTTTGAGGTGTCTGGAACTTTGTGTTCTCGGGCATTGGCATCGCCAGTCTTGCCATAGCACCATTCTCCAGTGATGTCCTCCAGAACTTCTTACCTTTTTGGTGTCAGAATTGTTCCTAAATAGAAACAATGTTTGCTAGTAGAAACAAGAATTAACCAAATTCAAGCACACCTTGGCGTTCCTATTTCTAGCACGGCAACCGTTCCTCAAAGTCCGGATGCTTCGGAAGCATCGTTCTCATGACTGCAGGCCTTAGACGCATGAAGTTCATTGATTGCTATGGAGAAAAACAGTATAAATTCTGAAATGATGTTTAATGCTACTAGTACTTCGAAGATTGCTGCAGATTGCAACGTTAAACCAAGGTGCGAAGTTGCTGGATATGCATCGCATCCTGCAGGCATTGCCCTGAAGAAAATAAGTGAGGCAATGTCATGCGAATGACTTTCAACAGCAAGATGAACAAAAGCGCTACTAGGGGCTCCTGGCCTTACTACTAGTAGCATTCTTACTACTAGTAACATGTTCCTGAGCTCCACACATGGGCTTTGGGGCGCCTGTGAAGTCGAGCACAGTATATAACTTGAAAAATCGATGCTTCAATTGGACAAAGAAAACATAGAACCATATAGAACAATAAATTAAAAGAGCAAGCAAATATCGATCATATTTGATTATATTGCAACCTTTCAACAACATATCTGTTTAACAGAAAGTCAGCGGATTTTAGAATCATAGAACGTCAGTGGACAAAGGCAGTTCGTTGAGAAAGCCATCTCGACTCAGCTTGCAACGGATGACTTCAAACAGAATCGGCCTCGAACAATCAGACGCATCAAGATATGAACCTCGATAATATAACTGTATCTTTCCAAAAGTTTTTCATGTTGCTTTTTGGTCAAGAAACTTATGATTTCAAACACTTTTGCTTTGTTTGGGAATGTGCGCTCTGTCTTGAGGCTCGAAGCTCGCCGGAATCTTCGTGTCGACGAAGAGCGTCCTAGAGCTCCCAAACGAAAAACATGCGTTTCTTTCTTTTTGTTTTTAATAAACCTTTTAATTTTTAATCCTTTTCCCTTTATCTCCATTGGGTGGTCAACTGGTCACCCGGGTATGTTTCTTGGAAGAGAACGATCACAGATTCAAGACAGGAAAGAACGAAAAAGAAAAGGACACTCAAAAGGACTCTGGCTCTCTGGTGGCACGGCTCTCCTGCATCACAAATCGAAAGTCTGACTCTTTGAAGACGGGAATTGCGTTGACCTCAGAACAAACAAATCGCATGTCTTCGCTGAACAGCAAAGCGAAGGCTCTGTTCAAACCTTTTCAAAGGCAAATTGCCCATGGATTCTGTGACTCTTCGGAAAGTCCTTCGAAACCCGCAATGTTGTGCACTCAAGACCATCCCCTTCCAAGCCTGAACGATGCGGTCCCCAATTTGAAATCCAAAGTCACAGGCCTGGGACAAACCAATAAGGGTGAACAAACACAATAAAATGTTTCAAGCGTTGTAAAGCAATTTTTTTCAGAATGATTGGATGAATTGAGAATGACGAAAGACTGAAAAGACCGTCACTCGGGCAAGAACGCGAAAATCACCAAAATTGTTCACCACCAAATCGTCTTCGGAAAGGTTCAGGCCTCACACAACGCTGTGAGAGGAAAGGCAAAAACCTTTCTTTGATACTTTGTTTTCCAATTTTTCCTTTTCGTCCACTTGTTTTCTTTTGGGGGGTGGACCTCTAAAGGAAGCAGACTTAGCAGTACGCAAGCTACAACCAAGAGAAAACACGAGTGAAAACTGTTCCAGTCGATGTTTTGCAGAAAACGCTCATTGTGCTGTCCCTGAGGTCCTAACCCACTTTGCCCCCTTCCAGGGGTTGGTGCACCACAATTTGCACATGGCCTGCTCGATCTTGTGCCCTGAGAAAGAAAGACTGGAAGACGAATTGACCTTTCTTTCTTCGTTTTGTAACTTTACGGCAAAGGCCCGCACGAGCCGCGTGCCTAAGGCCGGCACGGGAAGTGCCACGTCTTTGACGGGGCAACGTCCTCGGCACAAATCCCAAGCAAATGACAATGGCAATTGAAACGCACAAATGACATTTGTATCTCACAAACAATAAGCTAGGAACAAGTGCATCGCTTCTAGTAACAAGCGCCTTACTAGTAGTAACAAGAAGTAATTAAGTTAAATTAGAGGGTCTTGGTCATTGTCTTGGTTTGTGCCCTTCATTCTCAGTTCTGAGCATGATGGTTCTGATGCCTGGGCCATTTGAGAGCGGAAAGAACAACACCCACTATGTGCCACTGGTTGGACTCAGCTGAGCAAAGTCTGGAGGGGATTTGTGTCGTCTCGAGGATTGGGTCTTTGTTTTGGGGTCTTTCAAATTGGTGTGATTTGTTCCCCGTCTCAGTTCCAAGCCACTTCGGCTGCCCGATTCCCATGGCCTTGGTCGACCCACAAACCAAGTCACGGATTGACACCCTCACGGCACCATTCGGATGTGAAAAGGAAAGTGTGGTGATACTGTTCGTCGAAATTGAGTGCATCGCCCGTAATCGGTGTTGCAACAGTGCCTCAGGAGAGTTTGAAAGAATGGCGAATGAAAAACACAGGAAGAAACATGAAGAAAGGTATATACAATAGAAAGGTCTAATTGCAAGGAAGTTGTGGTCCCTAAGCCTTTCACTGA